TTAAAAAAAAAAAAAAAAAAAGCGCTACAAAAACTTCATTGCTTTTTCAGAAAGTTAAATGTCCCTGCTGTCTACAGATTGTGGATGCTTGGTCTCAGCAGGTGGTATTTCTGTGGTAAAAGTGGCACAGAACAAAGTGTATGAGGGAGCTGTCTGGTTTACTAGGCATGGGGATCAGCAGTATCTGTGTCAGGTTTCAGAGAGGGAAAAAAATACAAAGACTGGGCAACCTGTTTGATGGAAACAGAAAACAAGCTTGGTCATAGCCAGAGGGTTTGTAGAGGAAGCTGGGACTACAGTCTTTTTCTTTTGTTTTTATTTTGTGAGATGCTGTATCTGGAGAAGAAAACCTTAGGGGTGAGGACAACAGGGCTGCAAAGGCAGAAGACTGGATGGAGGAGTGCAACAGGGTGAGAAGAAAATGTGGTGTATTTGGAAAGGTTTGTGATTGGGGTTAGTCCATCTAAACTGAAAGGACTGGTGTATTTTTGCAAAAAGGGTCTTTCCAATGGGAAGTCTTAGTATGCAGCACAAGCCAGAAAAGCAGGAGACACATGGAGGCAATGTAAGAGGCCCATGGCTAGGCTGGCTCTTATGACTGCTTGCATGCCTCTTTTCCTCATGTGAAAGGCTTGAGTATTTTCTTACTTCGGCCAAACATTGATCTCTGCTTCTCCAGTAGATACATTTTTTTTTTTTTTTTTTCCTCAAAAAATAACAAAACCCCATTTACACTAGCTATGCAAAGGTGTAATCTATCTGCAGTTTTACGTGTTACGTTCTGCTAGGTTACTTGCCTTTGTTGTAATTGAATAAACTGTTACTCTTCATCTGATGTTTCATAAGCTTACAGGTCAGTTTTAGGGGTATTCTTTATGCACGAAACATCAACGTCTGTTCCCCCCCCCCCAGCTATATTTTCACTAAAAACATTAAGGATAGGAGTATGTAACAGAATGTTAGGTACTATACTGTACTGTGCAACAGTGAACTGGTAATAAATATTTGTAGCAGTAGTATTATAGGTGTCCACCAGAGGTCCCAGCGTTACTGTGAATGGAGCGTCACGTCTGGCTGAGGTGTGTTCGGTCATGTGCGCGAGGTGTCAGTAAAAAAACACGGGTGTGCAGGCGAGCCCGTTCATGCTATGGAAACATATATAAGAGGCACTGACAATACACCACTGCTGTCAAGTATAGCTGCAAAATCCCCCTTTTAATGTCTCACTACTGCTGCAAAGTAATGTTCTCCCCTTCCCCATCTACATGATGGCTTCAAGCACTCAACAGCTGATCCACCACTGGTACCTACCAATTTTCCAATAATGCAAAGATTATACTGAGCTGCATTTACAGAAGTGAATTTTTTTGTTCAGTATTTGGCAAATAAGCATATTGCAGACACTCAAGTGAGCCTAACTGTGCTCAAGTGTCCTGTGGCAATGGAAGGTGCAACTCCCACTTGCAGATGGAAATATTAATCACTCTTACTTTGGTGCTCATGGCCAGGGATGCTGAAAAGCCAAAAAAAAATATGTATAATTTGATTGTGTGTGTGTGTGTTTTCCGTTTTTCATGAAGGTATCAAAAACACGGGAGGAAAAAGCCTAGAAAGCAAGCAGTGGACTCTGTCCTCTGCTCAAGATCAATTTGTTTATTAGACATCAACTGTGTCATGTCTGCAGAGCTGATGCCTTCAAAATGAGACAGGAGCTGGGAAGGCACAGGTCTCCTTGCTGCACCACCTTTTCTGCACTTAAGGTCTGGTGTTGATACAGTGGTTTTGAAATACGCTGGATCAGTTCTCTAGTAATGCCTCGTGGCTCCTGGCACCATCTGTGCTGAGAGACCCAGGAACAATGGGGCAAACTGAAAAATGTAACGACAAAAACGTTTAACTCCGGGGTACTGTGTCACTAAGCCAACACTTTCACTTGCATGTGAAAGGATTAAACTGTTAATATGATTTCAGATACCAGTTTAATATTTAGGTACTTATATATGTTTTACTACTACATATGTACTGTTATCTATTAGGAGCTACTTTGGCCTACTAATTTTGATCCATTTTAAGTAACTTTCATTTCCACTGTAATATTCAACAAAGTCATAGTTAATATCAGCATCTTTCAAAGCTGTGAGTCATTCCTGCCTTTTTCACCTATTTCATCATGCTCTGAAATTGTAGTGCATCAGAAACAGGTCTTTCAATACTTCTAAGAGATGTACCATTTAGCATGTTTAACCCAATTTCATAAGAAAACTTTAAGCTGCAATTAACCACTCAAGATAGTCTTCTGCATTCCTCCTCATTTATATATTTATAAGAAAAAAAAAAAAAAAGAGGCAGATATACAAAGGATTTTTCCCTTATGAGAATTCAGCATGCCAGGTCACTTGCATGGGTTCCCAAGTCAAGAATGCCTTTGCACATTGGTAGGGTGAAAAAATCATTAGGCATGAAAACTGGTGGTTACAACAAAGAGTCGTCTCCCCAGTCCTGACAGCGATGTAGGTATGATCTGAGAAACGTTCTCAGAGAAGCCATGTGTATCTGGCAGAGCCTTCTGATGTCACTGGTTTAAAATGGATGCTTACTACAATATTACTGCAGGGCCCAATGCTGTCATCTGTGGTAATGTAATACAGAACATTAACTAGAAACAAGTGGAAGCAGGAACACAGTAAGCCATTGAAGTGGCTCAGTTTGAGCAGCACTCCTAAAATTATGTTGCTCAAAAAGTATTAAATGACTGAGCAGACAGCATATCCCATACAGCTGAGTTGTGCTTAATCTCAGAATCCCAGCAAAGAACTGGAAAGGACACCCCCAGCACTTGGGTTTAAACTCATTTGAAAGGGGATGATATGACAGGACATGAGGGAGCAGCGAGAGTTACAGGTCACAGAGGTGTCTCATTGCAACCCGCAGGACTCGGTCCGGTGCAAGTTGACATTAGGTCGAGTTCTACCTCAAGGTGGCTCTCCACAACCTCTGTGAAATAACTTGATGCTGGTGAGAAGCGGTTGCTCGGTGGACAAGTACTAGCTGGGTGCCTAGGTGGGATGCCAGAGATTGAAAGGACTTGGAAAGTGTTTTGTTCTTTAATATTTAGACTACTGTACTCATTTACAGGGGGAAAATTTGTTCTACCATCACTTGATTTGCTGACAAACAGGTTCATATTGAGTTAGAAACAATTCATATTTTGCACAGAATTAATTTTAAAGGATACAATTGAACTCACATGGTTATCCAAATTAGATCTACTTTTAATAAACTTTGACTGAAAAAAATGTCTATTAGATGGAAAAAAATTTAAAATAAAATCATAGGATCCTAGGACATTACAGCCCAGAAATTATCTGAATAGGTCTCCCACTTGCAGCAGGGTCACCAGGGAGCTCAGACCAGGTCTCCCAGGGCTTTGTCCCACTTGGGCTATCAGCCCTGAAAGGATACAGCCTGCACAGCTTCTTCCCTCGGCAGCCTGTTCCACTTCTTGACTGTCCCCAGGGGGGAAAGGGTTTTCCTTAAATTCTATTTGAGCCTCTCAATTCAGCTTATGTCCATTGCCTCATCTCCCCATGATGTATTGCTGTGATGACCCTGGCTTCTTCATAACAGACCCTGTTATCTTGATAACAGCTCCACAGGTTTTGGGGGCCTGCTCTTTGCCTCCTGAACTGTGCTTTCTCCAGGCTGGTGCCTCAGACTGCAAGGCTGTATGGTGCTACAGCCTCTGTGAAAACGGTGGCCTTACCTGAACTTCCTCCAGCCACTGGGGGTGGTGAAACCAGACAAACTACACAGCTATTGTCTGATAAGTGCTGAGCAGAGAGGGATTATCACTTCCCTCAACTGACTGGCTGTACAGCCCAGGCTACGTTCAGCCTTC